GAACTGTACACCTAATAATAGTTAAGAGGGTAAATTTTATGTTATGTATATTTTATCACAGTAAAAAAATAAATAAAATATTAGGCCAGGAAGTGACCCTAAAAAAAAAAAGTACAGAGTGGGGTAATGGTCACTCACTGCGGCCTTCAGTGAACTTCCATTCTCTGTCATTGTTTCCTGCCTGCTCCAGAGGCCAATGAAGCTTTTTGAGTGTGTTATAAATTACTCCAGGCCCACACCTTCCCCGGCCCTTGTCTGAGAAAGCGTTCACTGCTCCTCTATTCTAACCCTAACCCCTGCTTCCCCGTTCCACGTGTCTCCCCTCACTGTAGAGGTCAGCCAGAGAGACACAGGGCTCTTTGGTTGAGAAACACTGATCTCATGGATGGCCACATAAGATGCTCAGACTGAATCTGTTAACAAGTTGTCTTTTAGCACCTCGGTGATAAAACNAAAAAAAAAAAGGTACCACCTCACACCCATTGGGATGGCTGCCACAAAAAAACAGAAAATAACAAACATTGGCGAGGATGTGGAGAGATTGGAACCCCTGTGCACTGTTGGTGGGAATGTATAATGGTGTAGCTGCTGTGGAAAACAGTACGGCAGTGCCTCAGAAAATTTAAAGAAGACTTACCATATGATCCAGTAATTCCACTTCTGGGTATATATCCAAAAGAGTTGAAAGCAGGATCTCAAAGAGGTATCTGTACAGCCATGTTCATAGCAGCATTACTCATAATAGCCAAAAGGTGGAAGCAATCCAAGTGTCCATCGATGGATGAGTGGATAAACAAAATTTGGTACATGTATAAAGTGGGATATTATGCAGTCTTAAAAAGGAAGGAAATTCTGACACATGCTGCAACATGGATGAAACTTTGAAGACCTTATGCTAAATGAAATAAGCCCATCACAAAAGGGCAAATACTGTATGATTCCCTAGAGTAGTCAGACTCATACAGACAGAAAGTAGAATGGTGGTTGCTGGGGACTAGGCTGAGGGGGAAGGGGGAGGTGCTGTTTAATGGGTATACAGTTTCGGTTGAAGAAGAAAAATCTCTGGAGCTGAACGGTGGTGACGATTGTACGACAGTGTGAATGTACTTAATGCCACCGAACTGTACACCTAATAATAGTTAAGAGGGTAAATTTTATGTTATGTATATTTTATCACAG